AACATCCGCCAACCACCTGGTACTAGCAATGGAGTCTCGGGCTCCATGATAATCGGGAGCTCCACAGGCTCTGAACTCCATGAAGGTGAGAGTGCGTGACCCCATCATGGACGCCACCTCAGCACGGAACACACTCAACCTCTCATCCATAAGCTCCAATATACCCTCCTTGATCGAACCAAAGATCACAAGATTCATCTTGAGAATAGTGTGTGTGATCTCTGAGGATAGGAACTCCTTATTCTGCTTATCTAGCTGCTCGGCCCCCGAGCCTGAACTTGATCCCTCACCTGAACTGTTAACTGCTGGTCTAGGGCGTAAAACCACCATTTTGAAAACACATAATGACAAATGTCATAATACAATTATAACTCGAGGGATCGTATCTACTACGAGTTCCATGGTCTTGTCTCATCCTTCTTTGATTCGAGTACGGATCCTCTGCTTTCAGTAGTACAACCCATACTACCTTCCACATCTATTCGTATTCTCCTCAGGAACCGCCTTGATTCCACCAAGTGCCTTCTACTGCTATAACTCTCTGCTACTCACATCCTAGGCCTACCCTAAGGTAATCGTCAACCCACTCTCCGCTATCAGCTGCACAAGAAGTCCCGGATACCTCCCCCGAACTAGCTCGTGAACACTATTACATATCACTAAGACTAGATAATTATTCGAATGAAAGATCCTACCCTACAACGGTTGGACTCAAACAAGAGTTGAGCAGTAGAGCTAGACCTAACCTTCTGAAATTATATAATCCTCACAATATGTAACGTAACATATTCATTTACTGGTTAGTAAGAGGTAACTAAGACTCCTAAAAGCACAAAGCAAGCGACATTCAAGCATCGAGTACACATAATCAAACATATACTATTCTGGCTATCTTACTGACAATTTTGTACTAGCATGCAATTCTCATAAAGCTGGAACACATATAACAGGCACATAAGGCTTCCTTCCTATATCATTAATCCTAATCTAACATGCTATTCTAATTAAGTTGATAATCATAACATAGCATAAACTTGTATAGGTAATTTGGGAGTACTTACTTGAGCTCGGCTGATTGCATGTACCACACCCTTTTCACTTTTCAAAACTCTTTTACTTAAATAGAATATATTTTTGCTTTTTCTAAAACTCTTTTCTTTTAAAAACTTTATACCACTTCCTCAGTTTGAGTTCAGACACACCCGAAAGTGTGCCCGAATATCTCTAACCAATGCTCTGATACCAACTTGAAACATCCCAAAAATACAACCCAAAAATTTTGTTTTTAAAACATCATTAAAACCATCATTTCATCACCAAAGTATAAAATCAACAACAAAGTGTTTCAAAATCTCACAATATCTATCACATATCAAATCTTACGTCAAATGTCATATAAGATATCAGAGTAAAACTCCCAGGCTGAAGACTGTGGTGTGTGCCATGCGATCATCCCGAGCCCTTCCCTTTGCTAGTGGAAGTACCCGAAACCAAAACTAAAAACGGTAAACATGAAGCTTAGTGAGCTCCCTCAAACTACCACATACAATACAATAATATATAAAGCAAATACTAGGCCTTGCCCACTGCATCAGACCGAAGTCCAGACTAACTAGGGCCACGCCCACTACATCGGACTGAAGTCCGGCATAACTAGGGCCTTGCCCGCTGCATCGGACCGAAGTCCGGAATAAACTGAACATAGCATAACATGATCGTAACCTATAACATAATCACATATACATGCATGACTTACAAGTACATCAAGCATTTAAACTACTTCTCGGGACTACCCCGGTATCGCACCCAAGTCCGGAACTACTATCACCTAAACGGGCCGACATTTTAGCCGTAGACCCGCTCCTACTGGAAGGAAACTCACCTCGCGTAGCTGAATGCTGTAATACTGAGCGAGAAATGTCTGACTGCTGCTCCGACGACTCCCCGACTATAATTGCCACAATGACACTTAGTCAAAACACTGATAACTATTGTCAGGGTAAAATGACCATTTTACCCTTGGCTAGAGTCAACATCCTGGTCAAAGTCAACTTCCAGTTGACCTGACTCGCCGAGTTGGCCCTCCAGCTCATCGAGTCCCTTAGTCCTTCATTTTTCCTCAACCCGATTCTGCTCGCCGATTTTAGTAAGAACTCGACGAGTACTCCTTCATTCATGTTATCGGGATAACCTTTAACCGACTCGCCGAGCTGTATGAACAACTCATTGAGTCTATCTTCATCATATGAACATGTCCAGTCTCTGACTCGCCAAGTTGTATGAACAACTCATCGAGTCTATCTTCATGGGTTGGGAGATTGCCTTGGACTCACCGAGTGTGTTCTTCCACCCGCCAAGTCCCATGGTTTCCAGGCCATGGCTATGTCCTAATACGTTGAGTCACTCCTATGGACTCATCCAATCTCTTCTAAACTCAATTGGGTTCCCTTGAAACCCAAACTGATTTGGGGAATCAACACATGACTCGCCGAGTCCCAAACGGACTCGTTGAGTCTACTAAGGACCAAGTCCATAAGTCGATTTCTGATGTGCAAAACTTAACCAAAAGGTAGACCTGGGCTCCTAAGGCCGATATACCACGTAAGGTCATAAACTTTACATGCTTGCATGAAGCTTTCGAGCTTAAAGAGTCAAAATGGGGATTAATAGCATGCATGGGGGTTCTTATGGCCATAAAGATGGCACCTTTATGCCATGAGGACCCTTCAAGGTCTAGATCTGAAGGTGTATCAACTTGGGACGTCCAAATCCCAAGACTCAAGCTTCAAAGCCCAAAATAACCATAAGAAGATCTAGGAAATCATAAGTTAAGTGTGAAGCTTTATTACCAGAAATTGAGGATGGTGCCGATTCTGGATCTGAAATCTCCTCTAGAATTCCTCATTCTTCCTCTAGAATTCCTCATTCTTCCTCTTGTTCACCCAAACTTCAAACACACAAGGTAGCTCAAGAAATGACACACAAATACCCACAAGGCTCAAAGGTGGCGGTTTAGGGTTTTCTGGACGTTAAGGGAGTGACAAGGGAGGTCATAGGGGTGTTATTTTCTTTAAATAGGGAGACAAACCCTTGAAATTAGGGTTTTCATTAGACAAAGCCTACTCACCGAGTCAGTCTTCCGACTCGTCGAGTAGACTACTTAGTTCCTGACCCAGATTCGATCTTACTCGACGAGTTGAGCCTTCAACTCGTCGAGTCCAAGGGTAGAATTATAAAATTGACTTAATTAAATGCATACCTAGAACTGGGTGTTACATGAAATTACTAAGAAAATCAAATTAAACGGTACATTATTTAAACCATAATATTATGTAATATAATATTAAAAGTACAATGCTATAATATAAAATAAACAAAAGTATGATGTTATAATTGACAAAAGTATGATACTTTAATTAATTATAATATCATACTTTTGTTTATTTTCTATTATAACATCGTACTTTTAATATTATATTAAATATTATTATGGTTTAAATAATATATTTTTTAATTTATTTTTCTTATTAAAATACGTTGAATCATTGATTTTAAGTTTAAACATTTTCTTTATAATTATCAAAAGCCCAGAAATATCTGTCCGAAATTGATTTAGAAATTAATTTCGGGTTATCTCCGTTTTAGGATTGCTTTTTAAATATTTTATCTTATTTAGGATGTGAATTTGTACAACATGATTGTTTGTTTGAGAAAAAATTGGTTGTCATTTCCTTTTTGATTTTATGTAACGGTGTTAATTATATATTTTACGCTATTTATGTGTTGGAAAGATCGAACCACACTTAGAAGCTCAACTTTTATTATCATTGGTTGTATAATAATATATACTACAATCTAATAATCAATATAAAACAACATAAAACAAACATAATGTTTTTTTTATGTAAATGAAAAAAAAAATGTTCATTTTTGTCGGTCTATTAAATAGATAAACGTAAAAGAACTTTATGTTAAATGATTCATGAATGGTTTATTGAGTACTCAGTTGGTTTACGATCAAAAATTATTATATTATTTTTTTCATGAACTTAAAAGCTGTTTGATATGCTTGTTACTAAGTTTGGTAAAACCAAGTTAAATTCAGATTATTTGATATCTAATCATGTATCGACTCAATTGTAATTTATGTTGACTCAATTATGTATTGACATAACCGTATATGGCTTAATCAATAAATATCAAACTAGTCTTATTATAATTATTATCTATTACCGAATAGAAGTTATTTTATTTAAGTTTCATTCCATATATATTACTTATTTATTCAAATATGGCATGTTTAATTTATTTTTTTCTCAATTTTAATTTATTGATAACAACTTAATGTATGAGTATACCAGTATTTGTATACATAGAAAAAACTTAAAAAATATATTCCAAATTTATAAAGTATAACAGTTTTGACTTTTTGATACATTTGACCACATTGTTGATCAAGAGTCAAAATTGCGAGGGTCAAACTCCATCAACTGTTCACACCCGCCACCAATCATGCGGCAGAGGATCAACACCTCATCCGAAAGAACTGTAAAATAACACAAACACAAACTAATCCCAATCCAAATTCCTCAAAAATAGGGAAACAATATCAACCGAAATTATAAAATAAATTAAAATTTAAACCTTTTTTTTTCTCACACCATTCTGATGGAACCGGATGACCTTGGTCTAGGCTCCTATTATCACCACCACCACCACCACCCGCAGTCGCAGCCCCAGCCCCAGCCCCCACCGCAACCACAACGCCACCCGCACCAGCAACCATCACAACCTCCCACAACCATCACCAATGGAATGCTACAAAACACCAACACCGATCCCAGACCCTCTCAAATACTCTATGCTCACAATTCTGCCCCCTCCGCCGTCTCGTCTCCCTTAGAGACCGCCGTCCGGAGGAAGAGAGGGAGACCCAGAAAGTATGGAACGCCGGAGCAAGCCGCCGCTGCAAAGAGACTTTCCTCCTCGTCTTCTCCGTCCACCTCTGTTCCACCTTTGTCGCCGAGGAAAAAGGAATTATCTTTGGGTGTCGGCGGCTCCTCCGCTTCTACTTCTTTCAAGAAATCTTCTCTCGGTGGGTATCTCTTTAACTTCTGTAATTTATACCATTATGAATTAAATCCCATTGAATATGAGTTTAAAGGGTTTGTTGAGTATTCTTTTGTTATATTTGCTTTGTATATGAGCTATATGTCTCTATTCGTTGCTTCTTTCATGCATATGATGCATTGCTTATTGATTTGTGCTTGGAAGATCTCCAGATATTACTCCGAACTTTTAATGTGTTTTTTTTTTTTTTCAACAAACATGAATTTTTCCATTGTTGTTTGTTTCTTCGATTTAGTTGGAAAATCATCTACAAACTTAACTCCATTTTTGTCTCTGTTAATTTAGGGAACACTGGGCAAGGTTTTACACCTCATGTCATTACAGTGACTGCTGGAGAGGTATGAAATACGAAACTATAGTTCCCTTATAGTTTTTGTTGAAGGTGTTAAGTTTAAACAATGGCCCACTTTTTGCTTTTGTGATTCTTTGCAGGATATTGGCCAGAAAATTATGTCGTTTATGCAACAAAGCAAGCTAGAGATGTGTGTCCTCTCAGCATCTGGTTCGATTTCTAATGCATCTTTAAGCCAGCCAGCCACATCCGGGGGAAATATTGCTTATGAGGTAAACTAGTTTAAGCACTTTTATATCCACCATTTTTGTAGGGTTTAAAGTGTTCACATATTTTTGTCAACATCCAAATTGCCTAACTTTTTAAATTCATAAAGAATGCATCATCATGACCTTTTATAGCATGTTGTCTGCCGGTTATAATGGTATACTCATGGTTTTTATGCCGTCTCATGGCGGAGATATTGTCAAGGTGTGTTATAACGTTTTCATGACATTTTTTTTTTTTGATTTTTTCACATCATAAATGAAACCATTGAGTATTTGTTAACTTTTTGTTATTAAGTGTTCATATAACTCTTCTAAAAAACAAATATATTTTATATAAATTTATAATCATGCGATTTTTTTTATGTATATAAAATTGTCGTCTTAAGTCACATTTTAAAAAACGTCAACGTCATGTACGTAAAAGTTTGAGGTTTGACCTAGCTGTCACGTCACGCCTCATACCGTTTAGAACCTTAAATATAATTAATACAACAAGAATAACATAGGACCTATAATTTGTTGGACAAAATAAATCTAAACTGGCCAAATATGAACAACAAATAGTTAGTTGATAACAATAATAAAATGAAATCTACAGAAAAATTCCAAACTTTTGGGAAAAGTTTCAAAAAAATCCTATTTTTTTTTTAACAAAAAAATCCATTAGTTTGAGAAAATCATATAATCTATCATTTGCCGTTCAAATATAAAAAATGACTTTTTCGTTAATTTAGACAAATTGTTAAATAATCGGGATTTTTCTGTTAAAAAAAAAACTTTTAGAATTTTATTGAAAATTTTCCCAAAATTTTGAGACTTTTATGTGGATTTTCCCAATAATAAATTGTTAAAACATCGTAATTTATATAATCTACCAAATGCTCAAAAATTGTAATATGAATAATCTACCAAATTATAGCAGCTAAAATTATATATTGATATACAAATAATTATAAATAAGCTACTATTTATTGTATTTAACCTTAAATTGATGGATAAAAATAATATAAATTAAGGAATATATATATATATATATATATCATTAAATTATATATTAATAATCAACTATAGATTTTTTTTGTCCATTAAAGGTCTCTAAACTATTTTTTATCGTAACAATTCTATCACTTTGTCACATCGATAATGTTTTGTTTCTTTTTAACTTAATGGATTTAACATAGACACTGGGTTTTTTTATTTGATACCAGGGCCGTTTCGAGATCCTATCACTTTGTGGATCATATGTACGCACTGATTTTGGTGGTAGCACCGGTGGATTAAGTGTGTGTTTATCTAGTCAAGACGGGCATATTATAGGCGGCAGCATCGATGGGCCGCTCATAGCCGCAGGCCCGGTGCAGGTATTATTCATTTAAGTTCGGGTGTACTTCTTTCTGTGACATTTATTCTCATATTTTGATTGCTTTTTTCAGGTAATTGTTGGCACCTTTGCCATTGAGGGTAAGAAAGAAGCTACTACAATCATAAAAGGTGATGCTTCTACCAAGTTGCCACCACATAATATCGGGCCGCCACCGGTTCCGAACCTTGGCTTCCTATCGCCGCCAGAGTCTTCCGGAAGAAACGTGGTGGTTGGTGGCGGCGATGAGCAGCAAAGTATTGATGGGTACCAGTTCATGATTGCCAATAGGAGTTTGCCTGTAGGTGATTGGAGGAATAACAATGATTCAAGGAACACTGGTGGTTATGATTTCTCAGGTATATACCACCCTGCATTTTTGGGTTAATGAAACAGCACACAGTTGGAGTTTTTCTCGGTTATAGAACTATTTAGAAATCTTTTTTTGCAAAATAGGGCTGTTTAAATCTATTTGTAAATATAGGTTTGTTTGACAAAAAAAAAAAACATGTGGGTGCCAACTTGCATAACAATCTTTTTTAATATATTATTAAACGTTTTTTTTTTTTTTTTTTTTTTGAAAAAGCTTTTTATTTACACTTTCTTTCTTTATAAATTTATATTTTAAAGGGTGTTTGAGATTTGCTTACATAAACTACTTATTTAGTTAAATAGCTTATTCGATATTAAAATACAGTAAAAAACGGTTGCAAGAGCTTATGTGGTGCCGAAAAACAATTTATGTGATACCAAAACACAATAAGTGGATAAGTGAAAATGTAACAAACTTATCCGAAAATGATTATTTAAGTCAATAAACAAAAGTTATTTTGTGCAATATCCAAGCATTCAAATTCGTTTATGTTTTCACTTTTTTTTTTTCTACAGAACTTTTTAATACATTCAAATCAATAACCAAGATTTTATCTTCTAATTTTGCAACTCAATAATTTTAGATGGGTTTTTCATTACATAAAAAAAGGTGAATGTAAACCGTGGCCCCACGGCTCACGTGAACTTTTGGTTTTGCAGGAAGGGTAAACCATGGGGCGCATCAATCTCCAAAGAATGGAGATTATGATCGGTTCCAAGACTGAAGCTTTTGGGGGAGTATGGTTAGGGTTTAACCGGTTCTGGTTGGAAGTTGTACAGTTAACCCAAAAACATACTTGTTGAATATGTTTTGATGTGTACTTGTAGCAGTTTAGCATATGCTTTACTTGAACTTGTTTTGTTTTGTTTTGTTGGATTAACTAATGTACCTAAATCATGTTTAAAATATGCATTTTTTTTTTCTTCCTATTTCTTCTTTCTTATTTGTAAGTTGACATCTAATTTCACATTGATTTTGGTATTTATTATTTTTGAAGCAATTAACAATAAGATTATATTCCAATTTCATAGTGAGATTTTCTAACTACTTACCACATTTACACCTATATTTGTGTTGTTCCATGTTGCCATGTTTGGATATAAAATAAAACTTTTGAATTTTTTTAACATATTACTTTTTCTGATCATTTTTAATTTTCATGTTGATATATTAAATATTTTTTTCTTTCTCATTGCCTTATCTATTTAATGATTAGTATTAACTTATCACTTTCTTGTACTTGATAACAATTCTTCATATACTTAATGGGAAGTGATATTTCCATTTGATCCGTCCACATGAAATACAACAATTTTACGCTATTTTGAAAGTTGGTGAAACATATATTTAAAGTGAAAACATCAATTTATCAAGTGGAAACATCACTTTCCATACTTAATAAGTTTAATAAGTTGATAATATGTGATGCATAGTGAAGTTAGTTTTACTATTATATTTGAATATGAGTTTTTTTATACATACAGATATTATTCTCATGTTTTATTTGTCGAAATCTAAAAATTGATTTTCTATATGTATTATGTTCAAAGAATAATGGTTTTTATAAATTATAATGATTTATCAAAAGAAATTACTATGTATATAATTCTGACCATATCAAAAAAATCAACTGTAACACTACATTTACTTACAACCTAAACTTATATTATTTATTTCTATGCTTTTATATATATATATATATATATATATATATATATATATATATATATATATATATATATATATATATATATATATATATCTAAAATGAATTGATTGTTAGCAACTTTTTAATCAAAACTAATTTGTGATATCAAAGATTCCAGCCCACTTGGCTTATTGTAACAAAGCCAAACCCAAAAATTAAACCAAAATCGAGCCCAAGAAACCAAATTCAAAATTTTGATATATCAAAATAGTAAATCGGTTGTTTAGGGGGTATTTGAGATTTATATATATATATATATATATATATATATATATATATATATATATATATATATATATATATATATATATATATAGAGAGAGAGAGAGAGAGAGAGAGAGAGAAAAGTTCCATAAGATTCAACCTCAATCACATCTTTCACATTTGCCGCTTTAACCCTCCGGCATATCGGTACGACATATCTATTATAATCATAAATGATTATATAGTATCTTTCGTTCCTTTATCATCTGCCACCATCCCCACCACCATAACCGTCACCGCTACCACTACCATCATCTCTGACACCAGCCGACCCCACCACAATCACCTCTATCAGCTATATCACCGCCATCTCTGTCACCACCACTTCTTTTGCCACCAACTGTCATAATCATATATGATTATTCAATCTATGAACAGACATATATGTATAATCATTTATGATTATGCATATACGTATAAACATGTATAATCATATATGATTATATCTCTCTGCCATATAATCATTTATGATTAGACATATTCCAGTGCTATCGGTACACTGGAACGTTAAAACGACAAATGAAAAATATATGACTGATGTTGAATCTCAAAATCTCTAATTTTTTTTATTCTCAAGTGAACCGTCACTAAAATGAATCGATTATTTTCAACTTTTTAATCAAAACTAATTTGTCTTATCAAAGATTCCAGCCCACTTGGCTTATTGTAAAAAAGCCAAACCCAAAAATTAAACCAAAATCGAGCCTGAAAAACCAAATTCAGAAATTTTGATATATCAAAATAGGAAATGGGTTGTTTAAGGGGTGTTTGAGATTTGTTTGTTTAAAATGATTTCTATTTTCTTTAATAAAAAGTGATTATTAGTTTATATGGTGTCAAAATATAGTTTTTTTTAGCTTATCTAATAACACATCGTAATAAGATGATGAATTATTTTTTAGTGTTTGACAAATGGTGCTTGTTTGTGTAACTAGGAAATAATGTGTCACAAACTTCTTAAATAAATCAATAAGTAATGAATAAGTAATTTACTAAAAACTCATAATTTAAGAGGATGTTTAGGGCTATAAATGAACCGAACGAACACGAACAGGGTTTGTTCATATTCGTTCGTTTAAGTTAGCCTAACAAATGAACGAACACGAATTGATAAACGAACGTGTTTTCTTTTTCATGTTTGTTCGTTTAACAAATTGCAGTGTTCATATTTGTTCATTTATGTTTGTGAACATGCTAAACGAACATAAACGAACCAACATAAATGAACAAAGATAAACATACATAATTCAAACATATATGAACATAAATGAACATAAATATAGTAATGTAATCAAATACAATTAAGCATATATGAACGTTAAAAGAACTTATATGAATGAACATAAACAAATGTAAACGAACGACTTAACAAACGTTCACGAACATAATTGAACAAATGAGATTATTGTTCATGTTCGTTCGTTTAACTAAACGAACAATAATTTGTGTTCATATTCGTTCATTTATTAATTAAACGAACATAAGCGAACTTCCTGCCGAACAGTTCACGAACAACTTGTTGAACATTCAGTTCATTTACAGCCCTATGTTTGGCTAAGCTTATTTAAGAAGTGTTATAACTTATTATCGGTTCCATACTGATATAAGTTTAAATTAGTGTTTGGATATGAACTTTTCCAAAAATAGCTTAAGCAGTTCCACACCCCGAAGATAAATCATTTTTGATAAGGTACTCCTCATTACCTTATCAAAAGCTCCCAAACATTTTTTTTGAAACTTTGTTTCGATACCTATATAAATTAATAAGTAAAAAGTGTTAATCATTTTAAATAGAGTCTAAACACACTCTAAGTCAATAAATGTTTATGAAGTCTTATTATCCAAACATTTAAAACTATCCGTTAAAATCGTAATAAATCAATAAAGACCTTAAATATGCAATCCCAAGCACCCTTGATTCTTTTATATGGATTCACCATGGATTGCTTCTCCATCTCTCTAAAAAATCCCCTATTCTTATTCAAAGGGAAAAAATATAAGAAATAAAAAAAATAAACTTTAAACTCAAGTTTAGTTTGTGAAAATTTGTAATACGGGGCAAAAGATTTTTTTTTTACTTCCATCATTTTTTTTGGGATTTTGTACCTACCAAATTTAAAAAAAAAAAAAAAAAAAAAAAAAAAGACTATTATCTCATTTTAATTTATTTTTTCTAATTTTCTTTTTATATTAATATTTTATTTAGTTAGAAATAAAAAAGGGAGCCACCCTCCCCGATGCCCCCTTCCCTCTCTTATTGCATAACCAAAGCCATGGTTTGTTTATTTTTGCCTCTTTTGTAGCTTAAATCCTAAACGAATGGAATGCTTTGATTTGTCACATAAAACAACACATATTGTAACAAATCTATTTATCTTTGTTTGAAAATAGCAACACGAGGTCTCTTTTTTTCCGGTTAAGTCATGGAGAACATTGAGAAACGAGACTAGTTAAAAGGGCAGAGGTATGACTGTATGGGATCCTACAATGATAATTATGGTTAGGGATGAGCAAAAGGACCGAACCGGACCGGAACCGGGAACCGGCTTCGGCCAAAATCAAGAACCGAACCGGCTCGGCGGTTCTATCGGTTCCGGTTCTACCGGTTCCCGGTTCCTACCGGTTCTTGTAGTGTCTTCAAATGTTGGAACCGGTCCTTGAAAAATAGCATTATACGGTTCCGGTTTTTGCCGGTTCTACCGGTTCCGGTTATATCGGTTCCGGTTCCTACCAGTTCCCGGTTCCAAAAATCCACAAAAATAACATCCCGGTCCCGGCCCGACCGGTTCCATCGGGTTCCAGTTCCGGTGCCGGTTCCGGTTCCGGTACCGGTTCCGACCGATTCTCCGGTTCATTTGCTCATCCCTAATTATGGTGTTGATCAGGAGGTTGAAGATAAATAATTTCTCATTCTTACTTTTTTTTTTTTTTTTTTTTTTTTTTCAGGATCATTAATCTATATTCATCTTTGATTTTAGGAAACATCAACTAAGATTCATATTTGATATTAGAAACAACAACCCTGATTCATCTTTGATTTTAGAGACATCAACCCATATTTATATTTGATTTAAAAAAATTATCCTTTTATATCTTTAGACCACTTCATTCTTACCTCCATCAATAAGAGCATTGGAACCAAAATGACTTAAGAACAATCATTGATGTTATCACATCTTGTGGAACACTATTCTTAACAAACACGAAGATCACATAATGGAGACATGGTAGAGACCAACAACCTTCGATGGATCAGGTACACGACGAGGGAAGACATATGGAAAAGACCGAGAATAGAGGCACGACAAAGCAATCGAACCAATTTAACCTTACATGTTTTGAAGGAAAATAATGAAAAAGGAAGAGATATACATAAGTATTTTGATAGTGGTAGGGGAACGGATGCATGAAGTCCAATTGATTTTCCGACAAAGAGATCTAGCATATAGGTTAGTTCATCCTTTATTTTTGCAATTTGGTTGTTGTGAAGCTTGATTGAAGGTCCTTCAAAGTGCTTGGTTCTAGTATGCCTGAATTATCATAGTTCTCATGAAAGTTTGAAATAGCGATGAGCAAGACTAAAATGGAAAAAATCCACCTATGTGTTTGAGAGAGAGCAATAATGTTTAAGGGTGGGGTGAGTAAAGTTGGGATTTCCAAAAGGCCTCGATTAAATCATACCACATAATTAGTTTATTAGAACCCAAGTGAAATGTTATGGCATGCTTTGGAACTTATGGCGATTTAGAAACAAAATATTATTTCACATGGAGGGTATTTCTGTCCATTATGGCCTGGAATGTATTAAGGCTATGACCTTCTATTGGGTTAAACATAGGGGCAATAAGGGTATATGTAGTTGGGAGGATTGGTTGACATCTCCATTTTATGATTTGTAATTTGCATTCACTTGTATGTCTTTCTTATTATTGGTCCCTCTTCTAGCTCCTTGCTAGGGGAGGGTTCCTTTCTCTAATAAAATATTTGCCGTTTCCAAAAAAAAGAACCCAAGTGAAAATTAGATGAATGAGGTCACATTCGAATGCTACACCGCGTGAGTGCTATTTGGTTTTATTGAAAATATAATAATAATAATAATAATAATAATAATAATAATAATAATAATAATAAATAGGAATTGTTTAAGAGACATAGTTATTTTAGACTATGTGGATAGATCAATAAAAAATCATGGTTTAGAGAAACTTGGATGCTGTTTGTTTTAAAAAAAACATTTTCTAACAATTTATTGTTGCGCCGCACAACACTTGGCTCTTCGCAGTTGTTCGTTTTTTATAAGACTTTTGACTTAAAAACTGTTGCGCGTGTGCTGTGTGGCGCAACACTTGACCATTTGCTTCAAACATCTTCACACCTTACTTTAACTTATTGCAACACTCTGCAGAAGTTAAAAAACAAACAAAATTTTTATTACATGCTGCAGCCGTGTGGTTTCACTCTTCTGTTACAAGGGTTGCATGTAATTGTGATTAAAATCCCATGCAATCCATTACATCATTAAACGTATTTATACAAATATACATCAATGGGCCAAGGGCCACATATGGGCTAATAATCTAAATACAGAGAGTATACATTAAAATATATACGTTAACAACCCCCCGCAGTTTGAACGAGGGTAGAACCACGAACATTCAAGCTGGACCGAAAATCAAGGAATAAGACCGAAGGAAGACTTTTTGTAAAGATATCCTCATATTGAGACTTGGAAGGAAAATGAAGCACACGAACCTGACCTGTAGCAACCGCATTAGCAACACCGCGGTACTCTGCCTCGGCACTAGACCTGGAGATAGTGTGTTGACGTTTGGAAGACCAGGAAAAGAGATTGTGTCCTAAAAATACACAATAAAGAGAAGTAGAACGTCGAGTGACAGGACAGCCAACCCAATCAGCATCCGAGTAGGCAATAATGTCTCGAGAGTGAGAACTAAAAATTTGAAGACCATGATCAAGTGTACCACGAACATAGCGTAAAATGCGCTTCAAAGCTGTGAAATGAGGCTCACGAGGATCATGCATGTAAAGACAGACCTGCTAAACTAAATAGGTAATGTCAGGCTGGGTGGACGTGAGATATTGAAGTGCACCTTCCAGACTATGATATAGAGTAGGGTCTTGGACAGGAGGCCATGAACCATCAAACTTAGCAGACAAGTTAGCAGGGGTAGATACAAACTTACAGTTTAGCATAGATGCACGATCTAGTATCTCCATGGCATATTTTCGTTGAGACAAAAATAAACCGTCGACATTTCTAGCATAAAAGATACCCAAAAAATAATGGAGATCACCAAGATCAGACATGAAAAACTCAGTCCCAAATATGGATGTAATATGAGACAAAAGTTGTGCAGACTTACCAGTAAGAACAATATCATCCACATAGAGAAGTAAGTATGCAATGTGAGTAACCTGTCTGTAGATAAACATAGATGAGTCACACCTGCTGTTAGTAAAACCAATGTGAGAAATAAATGTTGTGAAAGCACTGAAACCATGCCCTCGGTGCCTGTTTGAGACTATAAACTGATATCTGAAGAAGACATACATGATGAGGCCGAGATGGGTCACAAAAACCAGGAGGTTGTTGCATATAGACTGTCTCCTGAAGATGATCGTGAAGAAAAACATTTTTCACATCAAGTTGTCGAATAGGCCACTGATGAGTAACTACTATACTCAGGATGGTACAAATGGTGGTAGGTTTAACAACTGGGCTGAAAGTTTCATCACAATCAATTCCGGGTCGCTGACTACGACCATTTGCAACAAGACGAGCCTTGTAGCGAGAAAGAGTACCATTGGCAGTCAACTTCTTTTTAAAGAGCCAAATATAATTAATAGTGTTCGCATTTGTAGGACGAGGAACACGGGTCCATGTTTTATTTTCCATTAAAGCAGTATATTCTTCTTGCATAGCTTTGAGCCAGTTTGGATCTTCAAAGGCTTGTAAGTAAGTATGAGGAAGAGGAGACTCAGATTCCATATGAAGATTTAGGCGTTGAATAGGTTTTTTAATACCACGTTGTAGCCTAGTGACCATTGGATGTGTAGAGACAGGTGTATCAAGTGGAACATCGATTTCTGAATGAGGAGATGTAACATCATCAGTGACAACATTAGAAGGAGGATACCTATGACCAGATGGAATAGGAGAACTCTCAGCAGAAGAAGAGAGAGAGAGCCAAGAGATCGAGATGGAGAGTTAGGAGGGGGATTTTGTGAGTATTTGTAGATGATGATGACTCGGGAGTTATAATCGGAGGGTTGTGATCCTTGAGAAAAGAATACGAAGGAGCAGAGTTAGGAGTAATAGAGCCAAAAGGAAACACAGTTTCATAAAACACAACATGTCTGGATATGATTATTTTCTTAGAGTGAAGATCAAGACATCGATATCCTTTATGATTGGAAGGCTATCCAAGAAAAACGCATGGTGTAGATCGAGGAGAGAGTTTGTGATGAGACTCAACATGCGGGAAACATAGACATCCAAAAACCCGAAGGTGGTGATATGTAGGTATTTTGTTGTAGAGTTTGAGAAAGGGAGTGTCATTGGTAAGAATGGTGGAGGGAAGGATGTTGAGAAGGTGTTCTACCATATGTAAGGCTTCAACCCAATATTCAGGTGGAAGACGAGCATGAAAAACAAGGGTAAGAACAACATTGTTTATGGTGCGTATCATACGTTCCGACTTTCCATTTTGTGGAGATATGTGTGGACATGAAAAACGCATTTTAATACCATGAGTGTCACAAAGGTTTTGGAAATGTTGATTATTGTATTCACCTCCGTTGTCACATTGAAATTGTTGTCGGCATTAAATTGATTTTTAACAAGAGCATGAAAGCGAAGAAATTTGGAAAAAACTTCAGATTTTGCACATAAGGGATAAATCCAAACAAAATGAGAATAATTGTCAAGAAAGATTACATAATATTTAATACCACTATAACTTGCAACCGATGAAGTCCACACATCAAAATGTATTATATGGAACGGAATAATGAAACAAAATTTGAGATATTAAATGGTAATTTAACATGTTTCCCAAGTTGACAAGGTTCACATAAAGTAGAAATTTTATTTGAAGAACAGAAAATAAAACGATTACCAACTAAATGCTTGAAGACATGATGACCGGGATGATCAAGACGTTGATGCCAAATAAGCGGAGCAATAGTGAGAAGAGCTTGAGGAGATGGAGTAGTAACAGGATAGAGATCTTCGATGCTATCACATCACATGAGAACTTGTTTGGTTCATAAATCCTTCACAGAAAAACCAAACGGGTCAAATTCAATAAAGCATGAATTTTCACGGGTAAAGGAACGAACATAAATAAGGTTTTTAATGATTTGAGGGGTGATTAAAACAATTTTCAAAACAAGAGTACGATACAGATTTTGATAAGGAAGAGTGGAATGACCAACATTACTCACAGGTATTGAAGATCCATTACCAACTAAAACAGATGAAGAAAAACTACGCTTATTGGAAGTTTTAGTAAGTATACCTGCATCTTGATAGAGATGGGTGGTAGCTCCTGTATCTATGTACCACCCTCCGGTACCTGGATAAACCATTGAAGTGGTTTAGAATGCGTGTGGAATACTAGTTGGTTGTTGAAACATATGTGGAGGGTGGCTGATTAGCGCTTGAGGATGAGAGCTATAGGGAGCAGGTGGCCTAAAAAATTGATGATGTTGGGCTTGTTGCTGTGGCCCACCTGGAAGAAGGGCATGTGGGCTGATTGATGTTGGGCCAAAGGTTGTTGCAACCTTACTAATGGACTCAGTAGAAGACCATGTTGAGCATGGGCAGGATTCGACAGAAGGCACCAACCGTACCCCCAACCAGAAGGTGCAGTCGCCGGATGTTGTTGTGGACGTGAACCCCTACTAAACTTGTTGCCATTGCAACCCCTCGACCACCACGACCATTCCAGCCACCAGATCGACCGCCACGGTAATAGTTGCGCTGATTAGTTGAGTTGGAGTTGCCATCAGTGGCGAGAATGGTGGGAGAAGAGCCGTGGTCAGAATGTATGGGAGTGAGAGTAGTTTGTCGTTGCTGATCTTAATGTATTTGGCGTTCTTCAATCAATAACATGGACCGCATATGCATGAAGGAGGGTAGAGGATGACGATGTCGTATGGTAGTAGCAATGTAATTATATTTGGCAGACAACCCATTGAGAGCATAGGAAACGAGATTGATCTTAGGTTACCGAATTTTCCATATTATCAAGCAAATCAGCAAGAGACTTGATACGAGAACACTAATCACTGATAGAAGAGTCTTCTCGAGTGATGTTTTAGATCTCAATGTCAAGTTGGATGGAGGTAGTATCCTTATTTTCTCAGAAAAGTAGTTCCAATCGGTTCCAAACTCCATATGCAGAGGAGTTTTTCTTCATAATCATGTGGAGAAGAGGCTGGGACAGCGTGTTGTAGATCCAATATTTTACAATGGAGTCCAAACGTTCCCATTCTTCAGTGGGTTCAGGAGACTTTTTGGTGGTGGGAAGAAGATGTTTGGAGAGACCGTTCCCTTGCAATGGGTTTCAAAAAGCTCACGCCATATGTCGTAATTCATTCTTTCAAGATCAAGAACTAGGGGAACTGCATGTTTGATGTTAATGGAGGAAGAAGGTTTGTCAAGAAGAGAAGCAGAAGAGGACGAATCCTTGCCAATCATGATTGATGAAGTAGAGGGAGGGAAACATAATCGATAATAGGAACAAAAGAAGAGTCGATTCAGCGGCTAGGGTTCTCTGATACCATGTAATTGTGATTAAAAAATCTCATGCAATCCATTATATCATTAAACGTATTTATACAAATATACATCAATGGGCCAAGGGCCACATATGGGCTAATAATCTAAATAGAGAGAGTATACATTAAAATATATATGTTAACATTACAGTGGTGGTTCGCAGACTATAGATATTTTCGTTTCGAAAAAGCAAACGACACCCGAATCATAAACATATTTATGTTTCAGGCCACCTACCTATGCATGCATAAATTTTTTTTTGTACCCTAGAGGTGGACAAATATCGGTTTGTTTTTTTTGAAGCGAAATCGTCTTAAAAATCTGGGGATTTTTTTTTTGGGTTGGAAAACTGATTTAGGTCGGTTTTAAAAAAACGGTAAAAAACCCGATTTCAATCTTTTACAAAACATATCCCCAATGCACAGGAAAAAAAAATAATAATAAATTCCAGTTTACTCGGAAGTAAAATTGATCTGGTTCTCCCGTCTGTTGCCTCTGCTAAATTTGCTTCCATTAATCTCATGAACGGCGAAGAAACGGTGTATCACTCCAAGGATTTTGATTGGGAGGAACTGAGGCAACGAATCGAGAATGATCCTACCCTTCAGTATCACTTCCTTCCCTTTACTAATCAATCTCTCTCTTCATCTGCCCTAGACTCCCAATCATGGAACCACTTTCACGCTCGTCACTCTACCGGAAAATTCTTCAAGGTACATCCTTTTCCTCCTCCTCCATCTTATTTAACAACCACTCCATTGATTCCATAAACAGACGCACAACTAATTTTGATTTCGAGAAACCACGGCTCATCCTTTTCTCTTATTATTTAGGCTCTTATGATTGTTGGTAGATGTTGTAGAATAGACCCACTAAACGGAATGAAACGGATGATGATTTATACAAGAAGATCTCTCCTTTTCTATATAATCTAGGTCAAGTTGCTCAAAGCATATTTGTTCGTGCAGGAGAGACGCTATTTGTTGAAGGAATTTCCTGAATTAGCTTCTTGCGAGGAGCATTTTAAGGTATTGGAGGCAGGGTGTGGTAATGGAAGTACTGCTCTACCAATCTTACGGTAATTCCAAGGATTAAATTTGGGCTGAATTTATGATCAACGCGTTAATTTGAAGTCATGTCTACTTGATTCTTTAGCCTCACAAAAGCTATTTTGCTTTTCGTTTTTATGTTGTGTAGTGGAAAAGAAAACATCATTGTATTTGCCTGCGATTGTAGCACAGAGGCACTTGACAGGGCAACCGAAATCATATATGCTTCCAATCTGGTGTTGACTAAAAGTCGTTTTCGCCCTTTTTGTTGTGATTTTTCTACGTCTCCATTCCCTAAGTGGCTGATTTGTGATTCTTGCCGTGAAACTTCATTGATTAAAGGTAATAAATTTCTTTCAGGTGTTTTTATGCACATATAAACATGATACAGACTCAGTTATTGATACAGACTCAATTATTTTTTTTCTTGGTAACTCTCTTTCAGACTTTGATAATGACAAAAGAGATTTAAGTGATATTATAAGTTCATCAAAGGAAAGTGAGTGCTGCATAGGTGGTGTGGATTATGTTACATTGGTACGAGTCATAATGTCATATCATATCATCTTCTCCATTATTTTGAATATATATATATATATATATATATATATATATATATTAGATTTTGTGTTGTATGACAGATTTTCACCCTATCGGCTGTACCAGTTGATAGGATGCCGATGGCTATTGCTGAGTGTTTTTCTGTTCTAAAACCCGGTGGATTACTCTTCTTCAGGGATTATGGTAATGATCCATACATAAACTTAACTTCTTAACAACTCTATCAATATTCAATCATGAGTTACACGGGTCTTAAAACATGTCTCAATTGATTCAGGACTTTATGACATGACCATGCTGCGATTTGAGGCTGATCAAAGAGTGGGATTTAGGGAATACAAACGATCCGATGGCACCCGTTCTTATTTTTTTTCTTTAAATACTGCCCGAGATCTCTTCCTAGCTGCTGGTTTTATCGAGGTAATAAATCTTTTCTCTTCCTCATTGTGGTTTGATTTTTATAAAAATAAAATTGAAACAAAATTCTCATTTTTCTTATTTTTCAGGTTGAGCTTGAATATTGTTGTGTCAAGTCGGTGAACAGGCGTAAACAAAAGACAATGCATAGGGTGTGGGTTCATGGAAAGTTCCAAAAACCATTTTAAACCTCATTTCACACTACACATCATTTTTAACAAAATTGCAAATCTTTATTTTTATTTATTTGATTCATGGTGTATTCGTGTACACACTCTATTCCTCCTTATTGTGGAGTAAGAAGGTACATTCTACAAGCATGGGATTCTACTCTTGCTGAGATATGTTTCTTCACTGATTTTCTAGTTGAATGCTGCAAAAGATACAAACCATTACTTCATGTCAGAATTTTTACAAAAACTGTTTAATAGTAAATGAAAACAAATTATAAAAATCTTACAGCCCACAAGTCACGAGCCTTCACAACTGTCGATGATTTGAGCCCGATATCTGACCAATAAGCAGTAATTTCACTTGTCGACCCTCCTCTATTCCATAGAATTACAACTACTTTGTTATGTGCAAGTGGGCCCGCCCACACCTACAATTTAAACTAAGGTTAAAAACATAACAAAATCAACTCCTTCTTTATGTTTTCATGGGAATTAAGTTTCAATAGAGGTTAAATTGCCATGAACATAGAGAAATATTACCTCCAAATCTCCATCCTTCTTAACCTTTTTTCCTTGAACTCCAAGTGGATCTACATTAAGCTCAAGACTATGAACAAATGTACAAAGATTACAATTTTTTTTTTTTTTTTTTTTTTTTTTAGTTTTTTTAGTACACAAACCTTGATTCACAGCAATGACTTCTTTATTGGTAAGAATTTCATATGTTTCGTTGCTCATAGATCGTATGTCACAACCAACAAGTAGAGGTGCCTAAAACATTGTCACAAAGTAACACATTTGTTATAAAATTAAACCTACATGTTGAATGTATACATTGCTATAATATATTAAAAAGAATGTATTTAAGAACAAATGGTATACTTTTGCTAGCGCCCAAATGCTAAAATGTGAACGATATTCCTCTGTTGTCATTCCTCCATTACCGACTTCCAACATGTCAGGATCTAGAACCAAATCATAAGAATCTTAAAACTGTGTAAGATCTGTAAATTGTGAACAGTTTATAAAATCAGTAAAAAAAAATAAAATACAAACCGTTCCATCCGCCCGGTTTTGCATAAGCTGCCCATTTGTCATTTTCGTCTGCCCGACTAGTCATGCTAGAAGAAAGCGAATTATATGATTATGAATTTATGATAATCTTTTGTATGATATATATATATATATATATATATAATATATATATATATATATATATATATATATATATATATATATATATATATATATATATATATTTTTGTAATAAATATGAAAATATTTATATCATAATGTATATGGTGCATTATTGTCGGTAGTGAACAGAGTGATACCTATCCCAATTATCAGAAATATCTCCGGTCGTCCTCCAGCTATTGCCAACTCCATGTGCCCATGTTGCAGGATCCTCTTGGCCCCTGAATGAAATGACAGTTTTGCCCTTTGGTCATTTTGGGGAATCGGTTTTTTATGCCATATATATATATAGAAGCAAGATCAACACTCACCATTCGCATAGAGAATAAAAAATGGGCCTTCCTGAATTTTGCAAAGCTTTTGTCATTACTGGATACCTTTTTGTCACAAGTTACACAAAAATTTGTCAATCATATTACAATGTTTTGTTATAACATTAAAATTATCTAAACTGAAAGTTTAGTAGTTTACCTTTCCTTGGGGCTTATATCTTGATTGTTACAGTTATCATATTTTAAGTAATCGATCCCCTATAAACAAAATAATAATTAATAAATTAAATATATTTAGCCCCAAAAGAAATAATAATATCGGGATTTGAAATAGTAAGAATGTACCCATGAGGCGAAGGTTTTCGCATCCTGTTCTTCGTGGCCTAATGATCCAGGCATTTGTTTGCTGCATGTTAGAGATCTGTTTGGGAACAAGAAAAAGGTAAATAAATATTAGAGAAAGGGATTAAACTTTTGTAATTAATGTTTAATTATGTCTTAAATACCCTGCATCAGAGTAAATTCCAAGCTTTAATCCTTTGTTATGAACATAATCAGCTAAAGCTTTGATTCCAGATGGAAATGTATCTCTTTTAGGAACGAAATTCCCCTACAAAAATCAAATAATTAATACACGACAAAATATTTATTTTACAAAAGTCAAATAATGAATGGAGGATTAAATCACCTTTGAATCTCTATTGAGTTCAGCCCAACAGTCATCTATAATAACACAATAAAAAATATACTATAAATATTTATATTTATTTTACAAACATATATATTAAAAACACCAATAGAATAAAAACATTATCCTTTACCATCGGTTTTTGACAAAATATTTGTAAGATCTGATAAGATATAAACATTATCCTTTACCTAGATTAACATATTGGTATCCTGCAGCAGCAAGTCCAGTTGACACCATTGCATCCGCTATTGAAATTCGAAACAAATATTTAAAAAAAATAAAATTAAGCTATTAGAATGTGTAATTAAATGATGGTTAAATTTATTTACCTGTTTCCCTGATTAACTTTTCTTCGATATTACAAGCAAAGTGATTCCAACTATTCCATCTACAAAAAAAAAAGGTTAAGTATGTATTAAATTAATATAAAGGATTATCTATAATAAAATATATTTGTTCTGTTTATTAATTTTATAATAAGATTTCATAGTTATTTATATTGTACAAAAACAGAATGAATGCTAACAAATCAACATTTTGCCAATTTTATGTTTCTTAAAAAGTAAAAACATGTAGAATAAATCATGCAGACGGAGGCATCTGCCGGCAAAAGAGTTGTAATGTTTTGGAGATTTTGTTGCCGGCGGGCGGCGGCAATGATGGTGTAGCTAATGCGTGGTACAAGTAATAAAGGAAAGAGTACAACTGATAAAAGCTACTAATGCATGGCTACCGACAACAAACATTAATGCACACATGACTTAACTTACCCCATTTGGGGAGTCCGGCCAAGTCCATTATCCAAAAGGCTCCTCCTCCGGTCACTTGTGCTGCTAAAGGTTGTACGTGCAGCGCCGGTGGTGGCTAATCCGGCGATACTTAGAAGCAAGGAGAAGAAGCAAAGTACAACCCTTAGATGCATCTTCGATTACTATAGCCTTTCACACAGACGAATGTATACAAGTAGTGAGCTTAGAAAATAGCAAATGGAACTCTTATTTTATATACACACTCGTTGAATTGTATTGTACGCATATGTAATTATGCGTTATGATTTTTTTTTTTTTGCCGTTTAGGATGAGGTAAGACTTAAGAGGTCATCGTCAACATGTATCCCAAAGCCACGTTTTTTACAGTGGGCCCACGATTTTGAAAGAAAAAACGACCAACATTTTGGATGGTTATATTTGGCAAAATAAGGTTAACGACTAATCCAAGTTAAAACTTACAAACGAGAGACATCAAAAATTCAAGATCGGATATATATAATGATTATCTTATAATGTGGTTAGTAGGTAAGGTTAAAGCGAGAAGATAGGTACAAAAATGAACGTCAAAGAAATCATCAAATCTAATGAAATTTAAACTATATGTTGGATAGTAGCATCTTGGAACTCATATGTTTGACAATATTTTCTTCTACAGCTGGCATGACATCCCATATATAGGTTTATAAATGACATCACATGCAACAAGAAAAGAAATTTGAGGAGGTTGCAAAGTGGTATAAGCAAACTACAACATGAAAATAGTGCAAATGTTATCATGTAGTATAGTTTTGGGTTAAAAAAGATATTATGATTATTTATATAATGCAAATGTCATCATATAGTTTGGGGAATAGGTTTTTAGAAAGTAAAAATACCGATTTAAATGAGATAAATCGAAAACAATGAATATGAACGGTAAAATATTTAAACATTACACGTTAAAACAAAATTGAATATGAACGGTAAAATATTTGTAATTTTTACTTAAATATATTTAAACATTCACATAAGCAAAGTACATACAGAAAATGATCTAATGCTCTAAATATAATAATTAAATTATATCTTGTTATTTTATAAACCCAACCTTAAAAATAAAGTATTATCTTTTAGTTTACAAGCGTGTATGGTCTTGTTTTGTCCCCCGACCTTGATGGAAACTACGCCTTTATAAATCGCTCCATCAAATTTTATATTAACAAATAACAAGTCAACATTATGCATTTACAACTTTACAAATATATTATTCACATAAGCAAAGTACGTACAAAAAATGATCTAATGCTCAAAATATAATAATTAAATTATATCTTGTTATTTTATAAACCCAACCTTAAAAATGAAGTATTATCTTTTAGTTTACAAGCGTGTATGGTCTTGTTTTGTCCCCCAACCTTAATGGAAACCACGCCTTTATAAATCGATCGCTCCATCAAATTTTATATTAACAAGTCAACATTATGCATTTACAATATTACAAATATCTTTTATTTAATACACGTGTTCCGAGATAAGATAAGAAGGGATTTTAGTTCCATCTATTTATAGATAAAAAAAATCTATTTATAGATAAACCATGCCCACCTCAAAAAGGAACCTAAAAATCAAACACACCCATATACTCAAATTCAATTTCGATTTGATCTCCCTATATATGAGTATGATGTCACTGTTAGTATACACCAAGAAAAAAAAACATTAAATTTTCCATCCCCAACACGTGTTTGCTAAATTACATCCTCTTCGATGGTTGAGAACTATAATCGATATATTATTTATTGACAAATTACTATTTTATTAAGTTGAGTTGTGTATCCATATAGATTTTCAAGGTTAAATACATAAAAGATTATTGAGTTTCATTCCATATGAACGACTTTTTCTGATGAAATAATAAAATACCATGACACATATATTATTAATTGTTACTAAAATTATTTCAAACAAATGAAAATTATAGCATTTTAAAACTAAATATTTTTCAATAACTTATTTGACACATATAAATTGCATTGAAAAAAAAAATCTATTCGGTTAGATTAATGTCCCATGGGCACAAAATGTATACTAATTTATATGTACCTATATATGTACGGATCATATGTAAACGAATTTAAAAAAAAATAAAAATTGAGACTTGAGAGGCTTCACCTTTACGCATATCGCTTGCATATTCTCTCTTTTGTCAGTTTTGATTGTCTCATTTGCTTTTTTCAACACTTTCCCGTAATTGTGACGCTACGTCTTTCTTTGATTTCTCTTGCCTCCACCACCAGCTTCTTTGTAATGTAATCATTACCCATTTTATTTTCTCTTGACGATCTTTGTCAAAGAAAAAGAAAAGCAAACCCAATCTGTTTTATAATTTAAGGTCCTGTTTGATAGTTGTGGATTGAGAAAGTGCTGATTGGAAAATATCTATTTGGGTAAGAAATTCTGACCGAGTAAGAAATCATGTTGTTTGATTCTACATCTGACTGGATGTGCTGACTGATGATAAATAACCATTTTACCCTTGTTCTAAACCAACATCCTAAAACATTAATATTTAAACTAATTTATCATAATTTTTATCATTGATCAAAAACAATTTTAAACATAAAACAATTTTCTACTAATGAAATCAACATCATCCTAAATAATAATAGCACAATTAGGTACTGTTTGCTAGATGAACTGGGTGGAACAGAACTAGATTGGACTGAACATGACAAATAATTTGTATAGCGTTTGGTAAGATTGGAACAGAACAGAACAAGTTGTTTGAAACTTTTTGGTAAAAATAGAACCGGACAGAACAAGAAGTGAAAATGACCATATTACCTTTTTACAAAAAATGTTAATAATAACTCTGTTTGACATACATAACTTCAAAATTAACATTTTTATTAAAAAAAATTATTTAAAATTCTCATATTAACACAAGTTCTAATAACAAATAATCAAAATTGCTTCAAAATAATAAAATTCTAAACCCAAATGGTTTCCGAAATCCGTCATTTTAAACATAAAATAACAATCTTCAATTGTCTTCTTTCTAATCTTCGCAACAAAATAGTTTGGTAGTTGCATCCAAGCTATTCCACATCGGTAACAAATACATGTTTTTTTTGTAATAAACAAACACGTATGACTTCTGAAGAAGACAACTCCATGGTCTTTAACTATCCATATCTACAAAGTTAAAAAAAAAAAAAAAAAAGTAAAAAAGAGCATTCTATTGATTTTAAAGAAAGATGTTTGAGGGACGAATATGGAAGATTTTTTTTACCGGTATGGGAAAAAATAATATTAAAATAAATGAAATGCTTGCAAGAGGTTGCAGAGATACAAAAGTTAATAAAATCAAAAGAAAATTACACAAAACAAACAATGTACTTAACCTCAATAACAATATTTTTTTCACCACCACTATCCAAGAGCAACTGAACAATTAATGAAGTCTTCCAACTAATAGGTAAAAAAAAAAACTCAAGGGCAGGTACAAAAGTTCAGGGGCAATTTCGTCAGAAATTGAGTATCTACAACTTGAACCGGACAAAATAACATAGACTTGACAAGTACTAAACTAGGCAACAAAAGTTTGCTTATTTTAGCCTCCCAAACACAACGATGATGTTTATCATAAAATGGGGAGGAACAAAAGCTTAGGGACAATTTGGTCAAAAAAAAAATAGAACACATTATTAACATTAACAAAGAATGTTTAGCCTCCTAAAGTTGATACTACCTTTAACTGATCTAAAGCATAACCAATAACATCTTAAATCATATTTTAACATGTTCCTTCGTATTTAAAACCAACAAAAGGAAACAAAATACACAAGGTAATTGACTTTCTTTAGGCAAGATCGATCAAGAGGGCTAAAGACATAGCATAATCGACCTTTATCTTCCCTCTATATCGTTAAAATCTTTTGAAAATTGCTGGCAAGAGTTTAATAAACATACATTACAAGCTACCTGATTAATTCTACAAAAATATTGCAAATTAGTAGTGATTACTAATAACTTCAAGCCATTCAAAATTATAAAACAACAAATGCAGTTTAAGGCATCAAATTGAAATTAAAACATATAAATTAAGATATCATTCAGCTAATTAAAGAGATGCATATTCTGAAGTTTAATCATACATGGTGATGATAAGAATCAGACGACACTTATAAGAATTCAATGGCTGGAGAAGTCATATGGCATCAAATCGAGGATGACGAATCGATAATCAGTTTGTGTTTACAATAGATTGAGATGATTATATGTAATAGTTCATTAGATTTAACAATTTGCATTAGAAGAAGAACAAGAAAAAACCAAAATAAACAACAAATCAGCAAGAAATCAGAAGAACAACAAAAAAAAATCTGAACACAAACAACAAAAATCGGAACAGGAAAGGTCTATTGAAAAATCAGAACACAAACATCAAGAAATCGGAAGAGAAACAACTAAAAAAGGCAATCGAGAAGAGGGAAGTCACACCTAATGAGAAGATATCTTCGATCGGTACAGGTGCAGTGGCTGAAATCGCCGATCGGTGGGGAGAAAAGGTTCTGATCATCGACCGTTGAAGAGAGAAGATCCATATGGAGGCGCTAAACTTGAACGCAGGGCAAGGAAAGGCAAGGGCACGTTTGGGAACTTTCTCAGTCAGTAGATATCTCATATCTTTCCCATTCTGATGTAACTTACCGAGTCAGACATGCAAAATCTGTTTCCCAAACAAGAATAGCTGACCAAGTCAGCAAAAAACGTCTGACCGGGCTGGGTCAGACGTATATCAAACAGGACCTAACTAAAAATTATACACAGAATGTAACATCCCAAAAATACAGGCCAAAAATTTCATTTTTTTTATACATCATTATAAAACCAACAGTGTAATAAAATATCTGTAATGTCATGTCATGTCAAAACCAAAGTAGAAATAATCAAACGTTTTATCATAAAATAATATCAGAGTGTAATCCCAAAGATCTCATGTGCGGAAAACCATAGTGTGATGCACTACGATCAAGCCGCCTCCTTTCCTTTAAACACGAAGTACCTGAAACCAAAACTGAAAACCGTAAGCACAAAGCTTAGTGAGTTCCCCCATCATACCACATACCATACAATACATAGCATACATACTGCCAGGCTATTCTGGGGTGCCTGACTACCCGGTACGGCCATTCTGGGGTGCCGACTACCCGTGCAGCCATTCTGGGGTGCCGTCCTACCCGTGTCAAGCCATTCTGGGGTGCTGACCTACCCATGTCGAGCTATTCTGGGGTGCCGACTACCCTTCGGTTCTAACAACCGAACCTCGGGGACTATTTCACCCCCTACTACTACCATCACATATATCATAACACAAACATAATATCAAACATATCTGGGGTGTCTGACTACCCTTCGGTCCTAACAACCGAACCTCGGGGACTAGTCCCCTCCTACTACCTCTATCACATAAAACATAACAAGCCAGCATGCAACATATCATCACATACTGTCAGACGTATCTGGGGTGTCTGACTACCCTTCAGTCCTAACAACCGAACTCTACTACTATCACATACAACATATCATGCTAGCATATAACATATCAGGTAGTAGCAAACCTAGATGATATCACAAAGACAATCATCTATTATACATCTCCTAC